TCTTTCTGTATAGCTGGTGCCCAAAACTGGACACAGTACTCCAAACGTAGTCTCACAAGTGTAGAATAGAGGGAAAGAATCACTTCCCTTGATCTGCTGGCGACACTCCTAATAACGAAGAGGGAGGACCCAGGCAACTATAGGAGGTAAGCAGTGTACATTGGCAAAAGAATAGGTTTGGGACTATTTAGAAAAGCTGGATGTGTTCAGTCCATGAGGCAGGATAGGATGCATTTGAGGGTGCTGAGGGGGTTGGCTGATGTGATTGCAGAGCAACTGGCCATTATATTTGAACAGTGGCAGTGCATAGGGCAATGCGCTCTCACACTCTGAGAGCACCGGTGCACCCCCTGACCAGCTGAGCTTGCCACTTTGGTGATGGGCAGGGGGGGCAGGCAGGCACATCGGTGCGCCCTCTGCAAGCACTGGCCAGGGAGTGGAGCACCATGGCACTCCCAGAAGTGGCTGCAGCCCCCCGACTAAGTTGGCACCAGTCACCCATGACCTGTGTGCTGCTGTATTGCCCTCCCAGCAGATGTCAGGGTGATTGAAGTCCCCCATGAGAACCAGGGCCTGTGATCAGCAGGGATCTGGGTTTTCTATTTCCCATGGAAAAATGGAGAAAACCATGGATTCCCTGTTTTTATCAGAGAAAACATGGATTTTTCTTTTTAGCAGAGAAATGCATGGATTCTCCGCTTTTGCAAAGAGCTCTTGCAGACTGGCACAGCTCCAGCCTGCAAGAGGGATTGCAAAAAGGATGGCAGACCCCCAGCCCTGGCCAGAGGGGCAGGGAGAGTGGGGGGGGGCAGGGCCTGACTCAGGCTCAGACTCGCCCTTCGCCCCTGGAGCATAGAGGTAAGTGGGGCTGTAGGGCAGGGCTGGGGAAGATGGTTGAGGGCTGAGGGAGTGGGGGGTGCTGCTGGCCCCAGGCAGCACATCACAGCTGGGAGCAGGGCTAGGGGGTAAGGGCAGGGGTGCTCCTCTGCTGGGGGGCTTTGTGGGCAAGCGATGCGGGGCACAGTGTCATGGTGCCTGCCACGTGCGAGCCACACACACACCGCCCGGCTGCCTACCCAGGAGAGGGAGGCTGGCATGAGGCCGGAGCACAGCTCCATGGCTCCCCCGCCCCTCGCCGTGGCTGCACATGTAGTCACCTTGTGCTACATTGATTCATTCCCATCAACTAGTACTTGTTGTGTATGACTCCAGAGCCAGTTCCCCAGCCATCAGACCATGAGAGGGTCGAGGCCGCAGTTCTCCAGCTTAACCATGAGGATGTCATCAGGATTTGAATCACCAAATCGAATCAATGTCCCCCGAATCGGCCAAATCCAAAGCAAATACTAGCTGCTTCGCACAAGCCTAATGCCCACTGCTGATTCCATCACACTGCAGACAACCCCAGGGAGGGAGCTACAGGCTGCCTTTACTTCCCTAGGCCATCAGAGAAGCAAGAGAGGAGTGGGGCAGGTCAAAGGATCTGGCCCACGCTGGACATCTCTGCTGTATCTTTGACTTCCTGCTAGGATCTAGAGTTTGCTTTTCTTGCCATCAGCCTCTTATTTCTCCTTCAGGGTTTGTGGTTGCTGCGCTGGGGCACATCTCTGGGCAAGACTCACAGGCATCGCATTAACTCTAGGTTTCTTACCTTTCTGTCTTTCCTCTTGCAGTCGGGCAGCGGCGTACCTGAGATTGACCCGAATGAACACTTCAATGGTTACATCCACTGCAGCATCTGCCCCATAGAAATCCATGAGGAGGTTCTTAGTATTTATCCTGTTGGCATTCTCCAGCTGCCCTCGTGGGATCCTGCCCTTTCCCCCAGGGTCAGAATGTGATAAATCATCCTTAAACCTGTCGAAGTCTTCTTGCGAAAGGTCTTCAAGGGCTCGTAAGAGAAAGTTATGGATTCTATTTCTTTGATTTTCCATCACTGCATATGGAAATGAACCTAAAAGAAAATGTAAAATTAAACCAAATTTTGCTGAACAGATCCTCACCCTAAACTTTATTTGTGGAGCAGTAGCCAAACTCTTTACAGAATCTCTCTCAGGCTCTAACTAACTACTCTAAGGGACCACCTCCCCCTTCCCAACCTCTGTAGTCTAAACAAAGGAGTGCCTCTAAATGATAACTTTTCTTACTACCTTACCAGCACTTAATGGGAGTACTCAAAAGTAGTCAATATTGTGGCTTCCTACCTGATCTTTGAAGTTATTGGATACTAACTGCCCCTGAATCACTCAAGGATATTGCTTATAGGCACATTACTGCCGTGAGCCAAAAGGGCAGTAGATTTTCATCCTAGAAAGTTCTGAAATTATGACTTCTGCTCCCAGAGCAGCACAGTTTTCTTCAAGACATGTTAGTAAAAGAACAAGTCTTTCAACACAGCCAAGGATTGTGGTAGGGTGTCAGAACTTTTTAAGAAGAGGCAAATGGGAGCACAGGGATTTTTAAATAGTCAGAATTTGAATACCTCACTCACACTTCAACCAGGCACATCTAAATAATTTGATTTAGTACAGTGAACCTCCACCAGGGTGCTGTGGCACCCTGGGGTGCGTTAAGATCTTTTCAAGCGTGCCATGGGCCTACATAATATCTTTGTGCTGTTATCTTGTGACTCATGCTTGCAAATCTAAACCCAGGCATTTCAAACAGGAACCCATAGTGTTAAAACATTGTGACTTGTAATGGTGTTTCTCAGTTCTGTACAACAGAATAATCGAACATGGTTTTGGTATGACCGTCTGCTACTGAACCTGGGATTAAAGAAATTTGAATGTATTCCTCCTATTCTTGTCAGTATCTATGACAAAATTTTTGTGGTATCTTGTATCTCCCATAGTGTTTTATTCTTTAAACCTCTACCTGAAATTCATATCAAGAGAAAAGAGCAAACATCACTTTATTTTTATAACTATCTAAAATATGCATGTGGATATGCATACATACACAGGCATAGATAAGTGTGTGTGTGTGTGTGTGTGTGTGTGTGTGTATCTGTGTGTGTGTGTGTAAACATATATTTACACACACAAACCACCGATGTATATGTGTCTCTGTAAATTTATGTATACACATTGTAAGTAAAATATCCAAACCCTGTTTTGTTATTCAATGAACACATCCAAGATGCAGGATAAGAGGATAAGTGCATGCATAGCATAATAATAATAACTATTCTCCAACTATTTGGGTTGGTCTAATAAAAGATATCAAATTCACCCAAGGAACCTTGTCTACCTATGTCCTTAGATAGACCAACATGGCTACAACCTAAACCCCTGCAACATGGAAGATATTGAATTCAGCCATCTGAAATGGAAACTGTACAACATGAAAAAGAAAAAAGCCAAACTCTACAGTGACATATATTTTCTAAGCCTTTGCAAGAAACACAACTTCATTCCCCGAGGACTGAACATCTACAATCCCCTGACTACTACACACAACTCCAAATATGCTTCCCAGCTATGCAGAAGAACTTCAGAGAAAATTAGAACTTATCTACTTCACCTACTCTACTCCAAAAGAGACCAACTCAGGAAGGAAATCACCATATACTACAACAACTTAAAAGATAGAAATCCATGCATGTTACCTGACAATATACAGGATACAAAGAGACTACGAAAAACTTTCTACAGCATTCATCCTACATAAAAAGAAGAAATGGAACAAATTACTCCAAGAACAAGCTCCCCAGCCACAAAACAACCATCAGAGGAACAACACCAACACCGTACAACATTCCAACCTCAGACTCGATTAAACTGAAAGCAGCAGCCAACCCACAAATATTATCAATCTCTCCACACACACACTTACCAAAACTGAAAAATCTGTCCTTTCTAAAGGCCTAAATTTCT